AAACTCTCGGAAGCCTCTCATAAGCTTCTCAGAAGTGTCTCAGAAGCCTCTCAGAGGCCTCTCATGAGCTTCTGAGAAGCTTCTCAGAAGCCTCTCAGACGCCTCTCATAAGATTCTCACAAAGCTCCCAGGAGCTCATGAGAAGCTTCTCAATAGCCGACCAACAACTTCTCAGACACCTCTCGGAAGCCTCTCAGAAACTTCTCAGAGGCCTCTCACAAGCTTCTCAGGAGCCTCTGATAAGCCTCTCATAAGCCCCTCGGTAGCCTCGCATAAGCTTCTCAGAAGCCTCTCATAAGCCTCTCATACACCTCTAAGAAGCCTCACAGGATCCTCTCATACGCTCCTCAGTAGCCTCTCAGCAGCTTCTCAGAAGATTATCAGAAGCCTCTCGGAAACCTCTCAGAAGCTTCTCAGAAACCTCTCTGAGAAGCTTCTCAGTCGCCGATCAGAAGCTTCTCAGATGCCTCCAAGAAGCTGCTCAGAAGCCTCTCAGAAGCCTCTCGGACGCTTCTCAGAAGCCTCTCAGAAGCCTCTCTCAGTAGCCGATCAGAGGCTTCTGAAAAGCTTCCCATACGCCATTCAGGAGCCTCTCAGAAGCTTCTCAGACGCCTCTCAGAAGCCTCCCAGGAGCTTCTCACAAGCCTCTCAGTAGCCTCTCAGAAGCTTCTCATACGCTCCTCAGAAGCCTCCCAGCAGCTTCTCAGCAGCGTCTCATAAACCTCTCTGAAACCTCTCAGAAGCTTCTCATAAGCCTCTCGAAAGCCTCTCTGAGAAGCTTCTCAAATGCCGATCCGAAGCTTCTGAGAAGCTTACCAGAAGCTTCTGAGAAGCTTCCCATACGCCTCTCAGAAGCCTCTCAGAAGCTTCTGGGAGGCTTCTCAGAAGCCCCTCGAAAACCTCTCAGAAGCCTCTCAGAAGCTTCTGAAAAGCTTCTGAAACGCTTCTCAAAAACTTCTCAAGAGCTGCTCAGAAGCTTCTCAAACGCTTCTGAAAAGATTCTCAGAAGCCTCTCAGGAACTCCTCAGAAACAGCCAGAGCTTTCAAAACTTTTCAAACACTTACCAGGGAATGTCCGATTTGCCCGGGGTAACTCTGATTGTACCGCGGGGAATATTTTTCTCGAGAGAGGGGGGGGGGGCGGGGAACAGGAGAGCGGGGGGGGGACAGGAGAAACGGGGGGGGAGAGCGGGGGGGGACAGGACAAATGGGGGGGGACAGGAGACAGAGGGGGGGACAGGAGAGGGGGTGGGGGCGAGACAGGAGAGGGGCGGGGGGGTACAGGAGAGAGGAGAGGGGGCGGGATCATCCGCATCTCCATCACCATCACCATCGTCGCATCACCATCATCATCATCACCATCACCATCAGCATCATCATCCTCATCCTCATCCTCATCCTCATCCTCCTCCTCCTCCTCCTCCTCATCCCCATCATCATCATCACCATCACCATCACCATCGCCATCACCATCACCATCACGCCAGCTCCGCGCCCAAAAAGCCACGATTACACTGAATTGCTCCAGGTTCGCGCCCCGAGGCCACGATTTCATGTAAATGACGTCGCGGCTACTAACCGTCTTCGCGTGAGGTTCTGCTCCAAATTTGCGCCCAGGCATCCCAACATGGCTCTGGCATATCCCATTATGATAAAGGGGTGGTCGGCAGCCGAGAGTGAAATCCTTGCGGATAACAGCAAGAGCGGCCCATTGAGGGACCCGGGGCTTGCCTGGCAGGAGAGCCCAGAATCGAATCGATAAGTCGGATCGGCGATCGAAATGAATCGGGTCGGCGGAAATTGGCAGACAGGTCGGGAAAAGTCGAATCTGCGGACATCGGCAGGCTAGCGTGCCTCCAATGAGACATCGGAAGCAAAATCGGAAACCCAAGTCGAATCGAATCGGAATCGGAAGCCATCGAAGCCGAATAGAATCGGATCGGGGGAATCGAAACGAGCCCTGCCCTGGAGGGTGGAGGAGGCGGATGGGGGGAGGTGAGGATGGGGAGCGGGGCGGGGAGGGGGAGGCGAGAGGCGGCAGATGCGAAGAGGGGGAGAGGCGAATGGGGGAAGGTGGCAAGTCGGAGGGATGGAGGGGCGGCGGGGGGGGGAGGTGCGGAGACGAAGGCGGAGGAGGAGGAGGCGGAGGCTGAAGGCTGAAAGTGAGTCAGCGACTGCACACAGACACTGCTCGACTTCCGCAAATGCGGAAAAGCGGTACAGGGTACAAGAGCTGCCCCTTGGCGTCGGACGACTCGCGGCCCAACCGAACCGACATGGTGCATTGGGGGCACGAGGCCACCCTGTCGGCACGATTGGCATTGCGCACTGGGGCCTGCCCAAAGGCCCCAGCCGTGAGTGGACGCAAAGCCCGATCGGATTTGCGTGGCACATGCCACCACCTCTCACGGAAAACGCAAATCCCTGAGGGCCAGACCGCATGGGAATAGCCACCCAGGCGCCTGGCTAACGCCGCCGCCAACAGGGCACTGCTGAGACCGAAGGCCGTGCTACACCCAACGACGAGGCCGCGCGCAGCGCAAGCCCCGCCGATACAGGTTTCGCAACGTCCACCCCCAGGCCCAGTGCCCGCTGCATCCGCACAGAGAGCTGAGGGCCGTGCTACACCCAACGACGGCAGCCTTGCGGCATCCCGCCGATACAGGTTTCACAGCGTCCACCCTCCTCTGTGGAAAAAACGACCGGTAGCCGCTCACCCTGACCGCAGATGAAATGCGTCGCCCTGAACAGTCTGCCCCGAGGAAGGCGCGGCGCTGGACACCATGAGAACAGGTGCCAGGCCCCACCCTCGGGGGGGAGGAGGAGGCGGAGGGGGAGGAGGAGGAGGAGGAGGAGGAGGAGGAGGAGGAGGAGGAGGAGGAGGAGGAGGAGGAGGAGGAGGAGGAGGAGGAGGAGGAGGAGGAGGGGGAGGGGGAGGAGGAGAAGGAGGAGGAGAAGGAGGAGGAGGGTCTGAGGAAGGTGTGACTAAATGCGGGTCAAGCCCGCCTCGCCACTACGGGCGCAAGAGCCCCTGGCGCGCCAGGGCCGCGCCGCGCCCCGACCCCAGGGGGGTGCCAGCCCCCCGCAGGTTCGCATCGGGGCGAAAGAAAGCCGAAACAAAACCGAGCCCACAGCCCCAGGGCGGCCAGAAGGGGAAACCGAAGCCGAACCCCACATAAGCTGGCACCCCCCCGAGGCCACTCAGGCCTTCCAAGCTTTGGACAAGTGAGGCCACCTGTCCAGAGCTCCACCTTGTGGTATTCGACGCCCTGCTTGTCCATTGCGGTGGGGCCGAAGATGACGAGCGGACAAATTCGCCAAAACGCCGTAACAAATCGACGGCCTTCACGCCCGACACGGGGGTCAACCAGAAGCCGACGACCCTGCAACCTGGACGTCCCCGATGATCCTCTGGAAGAGCGTCGCGTCGAGCGTACCAAGCTCCGCCAGCGCCGACGCCTGGCCCAGGATTTCCCCAATGAAGGCCTGCTTCTCTCTGAGGCCCGTGCCGCCCACAGCCTTGACCTTCGCCTTGGACTGCTCGCCCTGGCCGTTGTCGCCGCCCTGCTTGTCCTTCTTGCCTTTCTTCTTGCGCTTGCCTTTGGTCTGGAAGCCGCCGCCACCAGCCGTGTCGCCCTCGCCAGCGATGTCGAGGCCCTCGCCGTCGTCGCCAATGTAGTACTCCTCCAGGCCGCGGCGCTCGTCGACCTCCTCCTTGAAGCCGCCGCTCTTCTCGCCGATGACCAGAGACTCGTCCAGGCTCAATCCCCGCTCTGCTTCAGCGTCTTGTTGCGGCGGTGAGCTTCCCATAGTCGCCGCGCCAGCGCCCGTTTGGCCTTCACTCCAGTGCGCCCGATCACCACGTTGGGGTACTGCTGTGATGTCGCCTCCTGAGCGCGTTGGCGGGCAGACTTGAGTTGGGCTCTCTTCTTCTTCCCAGGCTTCTTCATCCCAGGTTGGCGACGCCGCGGCTTTGGCATCACCTCCAGGGTGGTCGCTGCGCTTGCCGTTGTCGAGCCGGCCCCCGCGCGGGGCGAGGCGCACGTCGACGTCCAGAGGACCTCGCTCTTGACCTTCACCCAGGTGCGTGTCTCGTCCTTCAGCCAGCCCAATTTGAGCCGCTCCGCGAAGTATCGCGCCTTGCCGGAGGGCGCCCGCGGCGGAGAGACGATCTTGCGGTTGTACTTGACCTCCTTCCCCGACGGCTCCACTTTCGTCGGCTCCTGCAGGTCCTTCAGGGTGAGCTTGCCGTAGCCCAGCCCCAGGACCGCGAGGGAAGGCTCCGAGTGGTTCGCCAGGTAGTTGGCCTGCATCTTGCTGTCCAAGAAGCCGTAGCCCACCGACCGAGCGAGCTCCCTCTGCTGCGCCAGGATGCTGGTCCCGCCCATGTGCGGCGCCAGGGGCATCCTCGCCTTGGACGTAGCCATCCGTGCAGATGACGAGGTGCCAGGAAGAATCCCCGACCTCGCCCTCGATCTTGCGGATGAGGCGGCCGATGTGGACGCCCGTGTCCTCTTGCTTCACCAGCGAGTCGCCGATGAAGACCTGGATGTTGCGGCTCATCACGCCGCCTGCATGGGCTCGGGGCGGCAGAGGAGGAGGAGGAGGAGGAGGAGGAGGAGGAGGAGGAGGAGGAGGAGGAGGAGGAGGAGGGGAAGGGCGGAGGAGGAGGAGGAGGAGGAGGAGGGGGAGGAGGAGGAGGAGGAGGAGGAGGAGGAGGAGGAGGAGGAGGAGGAGGAGGAGGAGGAGGAAGGTGGAGGAGGAGGAGGAGGAGGAGGAGGAGGAGGAGGAGGAGGGGGAGGAGGAGGAGGAGGAGGAGGAGGAGGACGAGGAGGAGGAGGAGGAGGAGGAGGAGGAGGAGGGGGAGGAGGAGGAGGAGGAGGAGGAGGAGGAGGAGGAGGAGGAGGATGAGGCGGAGGAGGAAGGGCGGGGTGAGGAGTGGCGGGGGCATCACTCATCCTCATCCTGCTCCTCCTCCTCCTCCTCCTCCTCGTCCCCGCCGTCGGGCACGACGCCGCTCAGCGGCGACCCGAAGATGGCCGGCGCCGACGTGCCCGTGGCGGGCGACAGCGGCAGCTGCGCCACCGCCACGTGCTGCCTCTCGGGCGGCCCCCCCCCTCGCACCGGAGAGCGCCCGCCCAGCGGTCGCACCGAGCACGACGAGCGTACACACCAAATCCGTGCCCTCGCGGGGCACAAGGATCCGTAGCTGGATGCCGAATCCCAAATCCGTGCCCTCGCGAGGCCCAATCCAAAATCCGTGTCTGGCTGTTGAAGGCGCGATCCCACGGATACGCGATCCCATGGGTGCGTTCCGCGCGGGGCGTTCGCGCAACGCCACTCTGCATCCATGTGGCAGCGGACGTGGAGTCCGGACCGCGAGGCCGCGGATATGTTTCCCGCCCACAGGCCGAAACAGTGGGTGAACTCTCGCGTGGGCTTGCACGACTCGCGCACCTCGCCGAGAGGTCGCCCAAACCATCGACGAGATGTCTCGAACGAGAGCTCGGCAGATTTCTCGTCCAAGATTCCTCAGGCTTCCATCGTTCCTCCGCGTGGACTCCGCAGACAATCCAATTTGAATATGCGAAGTCTCGCCAAAATCGGCCAATCATCTCAAGGAGGAGGAGGAGGAGGCAGCGGCCCTCAGGGGCATGTCCCGAAAGGCCTGCGGCCACAGCCTCAGCAATTGCCCTGAAAACCTCTTGCCGCAGCCCGAATTCAATCACGTCGCGTTCATCCGATCTGCCTCTGCGAAGGGCCATGCCCACCTCCGATTCCACAATCCGCCTCTCACCTCCGTGCCGTCTCTCCTTCCCCCTTCCCCGACCAGCTGCAACCTTCCCTCCTCTTGTTCATTTCGAACGCGGGAGCGTCTGAGGAGAGACGAATGCGACGGGACGTCGATCAGGGCAGAGGCGGACGCGCAATCAGAACAGCATCAGGAAGAACATGAGTAACAGCAACCTTGAACAGCACCTGCAAGGCAGTTAGAGGTTGTTTGCTCTGGGTTATGTTTTTTTCCCATCCTACTTAAGGACCACATCCCAGAAATAATTTCGAGCACCCAGAAAAGTGTCAAAAGAGTGTCGAAACAGTGTCTGGCGAGTATCTCCCAGGGCCCGACACGTGAAAACCCTTGAGTTTCGGTATTTCTTTGGTGCTCGGAATTCTTCCTGGTGGTCGAGGCTAAAGTAGGTTGGGACATCACAAACTCTGGAGAGGGACAACGACCAGGACATTCTCAGAGAGCCGCCCCTGCAACCGGGGACAATGTTGCCTGCTGCAGCGCAAATCCGTAGACGGAGGGGCCGGCCGAGCAGCGATGGGGCCACGTGCTCACATCGCAAAGTTCGTAGCGCTTTCGGGTCCAGCGAGGCGCTGTTCGATTGCGTACAAGATTGAAGGGGCCCCAAGACACACAAATAAACATATTCCGCATATCTTAAAATATTGTCAGGGTTTCTGTCTTCCCCCCACTTCCCATATTTTCCCATATTTTCCTGGGAATCGACGATTAATTGTGTCTGTGTGCTGTTTCCCCTCCTGAAAGATGAGCGTCGATGGCGGGAGTTCGTCCACAACCACATCGACGAGTTCTGAAGCTTGCGAGCCCTGACAGACACGCCCGCTAACTGATTGATCAATTCATTGCGACTCATCTTGTTTCCGTCGTCCCCCTGTTGTTGCTGTTGCACTCCTTCATTGTCTCGATTTCTCCTCCGTCTCATCCTCCTTGCAATGCAAGCTGTGCTGAGCTTGTTTCCCGTCCACGAGCCACATGGCGTATGGCTTGACCTGGATCTGGACAATCAACGTGTCCACCCCTAAAGCAGCTAAGCACTGCCAAGATGGCCCGCTAAGCGAACTCCTCAGGAGTCGAAGTGCGCTTCCACCGAATAAGAAACACATCAGACGTCAGGCTTCGCCACTCGTCTGCGTCCCCAAAAAGAAATTGCCACTCCCCAAGGAGTCTCTGCAACATCTCCCGTGGAGTCCTCAAAGCGCATCGGCCGAGTCGACCTCTGCTCGACCGCAACAGCCTGGGAACAATCAGCTCTCCATCGCGTGACCCTGCTTAACCGTTTCTTAGTGCTCATCTGGACCACGCACACAGCCCAGCTCGATTTTCGTCGAAAGCGCTCTAGCTTCTACCCCAAACCCTTGACTCTCCCGCTTTCTCATTCAATAGACGTACAGGGAGTAGCGTAGTTGTGCGCTTGGCAGCAGCACCCAAGCTAGGCCAAGAAGAACCTGGAAACGCAAGGTATTATCAGAGGAAGGAACCGGGGAACTATGACAACAGTAAGAAAGGAGGGAGCAGGAAGGAGAGAGGCGGCTAGAAAGAGGATGCACCTATGAGGTGAACGAAGGTCCTGGCCGAGTGGGGCCCCATCGCAGGAGGGCTGAGACAAATGAGAGAAGGAAGGGAAGCAGCATCAGGAGGTCAGATGAGTAACGTCAGAGAGAAGAGGAGAAGGCGGAGGCGGCTCGAGGAGGATGGAGGGAAGGATGAGTAGACGACGGAGGAGGAGAAGATGGAGGAGGAGGAGGAGGAGGAGGAGGAGGAGGAGGAGGAGGAGGAGGAGGAGGAGGGGGAGGAGGAGGAGGAGGAGGAGGAGGAGGAGGAGGAGGAGGAGGAGGAGGAGGAACACAGGGAAGGAGGAGGGAACGATGTGAACGGGGAGAGCTGGCAGTCACAGCGACGACAGCAGCCGCAGCAGCACCACCCGGCAGCTGGTGCACGCGGGCGGCAGCCTCTGACTTCTGAGCTGCGGCGGCCCCGTTCGCCGTTCCGCCGCAGGCGGTGCGCCGACCTGGCCCGAGCTGGCGGCTCGGAGGGAGTGTCTTGCTCTTGGAGGGCGACGGGGAAGCGAGAGGGAGGGGAGGGGGGAAGACGAGGCCGAGGGGGAGGCAACGACCACCGAGAAGCGCAGGAACGACAAACAGCGGGAGGACAGGAAGCGGACCGGCGACCTGGAAGGCTATCGCGCTCCTGCCCTCCCTCCAGTCCCTCGTCTCCCCCATCCCACCTCCTCCGCCTCAATCTCCTCCAGCCGGGTCGTGCGGAAGGGGGGGATAGCAAAGGGGGGGGTTGAGAATCAGCTCACGTAGCTGATTTTCCCGGCGCCTCCCGGCGCCGGAGGCGCCGATGTATCGAGGAACGGGCCCCTCGGTGGGGCCGAAACCAGCTGCATGCAGCAAATTTCGTAACCCCCCCTTTCCCAATCCCCCCCTTTCGTCCGGCCAGATCCAGGCTGTCTGCCCCGCCTCCTCCCTCTCCACCTCCTGCCCCCTCGCCCACGTCCGTCCGCCTCCACCCTGCTCCTCCGCTGCTCCCCTGCACTCCCCCGCCCTCTTCCTCCACGCATGCTGCCCCAGCGGGTGTGCCTGCCGAACTCTGAGCAGTTTCAGCATAGCATTGCCAATCGGGAGCGGCCAAGAGGGGGGTGTCCAAGAGGGGGGGGGCAAATCATGACCGGCGGCATGTGCGCGGCCCAGCGGGGGGACCAGGGACGCAATAAAATGAGAAGAGGCGCCATGAGATCTGGGGAAATATCATGGCCCCCACCATGATATCCACCCCCCCTAGTCATCACCCCCCTCTTTGCCGCCCCCGAGCCAAGTGGGATCAGGAGAAGGAGCGTCGTTGAGGGACTGATTGCAGCTCTCTCGGCGACAGGCGCAGGCCACCGAGACATGGAGGGCGAGGCCAATTCCCCGCAGTTCAGGTGGGGGGCTACATCTGCCACAGGGAGACCGTATGATACGACGCATGCAACGACAGAAAACTCTCGACAATGCATGCAATTACCCGGCGGGCAGGGGCGCAAGTTCGAGCCATTTCACAACAACTACTTGACATATGCCCCCGTGAACTCCGCTACCGTGTCTGCACGGATTGGGCGTGTTAGCATGCTCGTTTGTTGTCTGGAAGGTGTTTTTGTTGCCTTTTCTAGCCCCCCCCCTCGACCCGCACGTCGTCAACAAGTCCCCCCCCCTCTGAATTTGCTCTCTGGCTCTTTTCGGCCTCCAGACGGCCAAGATGGCCTCCAGGACGGCTTCCAAAGCAGCCGAGATGACACCCAGAGGGCCCCAGACGGCTGAAGAGGCTCCCAAGACGGCCCAAGAGACCCCAAGACGCTAAGGGGGGGGTCCAGGAGGCCCCCCAGGAGAGCCGGGGGAGGCAACACATCTACACGTTCCTTAGTTTTTTCTAGGAGTGGAGATCTCGCCTGTTTGGGTGTCCGACCACCCAAGATGGCCCAAAAGGTCTCCAAGATAGCTCCAGGATGGCCCAAGAGGTCCTCCAGAGGCCCCAAAAGTTGGCCCAGGAGGACTCCGAGATCGCCCCGGAGGCTCCCAAGAGAGCCTCAAGACGGCCCTAAAGTTATGTCGGGCCTGTCCCCCTACAGGGGGATTTTCGACGAAAAATAAAAAATACCCCGAAAATACCCCCCGAAGGTCAAATAATATCCCAAAAATAATCTCCTGACTATTTTTTACGCTTTTTTGACTATTTTGGGGGTATTTTGCATTTTTCGTCGAAAATCCCCTGTATGGGGGACATGCCCGGCTTAACCCTAAAGCGCTCCAAGAGGACACCAAGACGGCCCAGAGTAGACCCCAGGACGGCCTCCGAAGGCTTCAGACGGGTCAAGAGCTCCACGGCCCAAGAGGCCCGAAGAGGTCCCAGGAGGCTTCCAACAGGCCCCTCAGAGACCTTCCCGAGGCTCCCTGGAGACCCCAAGGACACTCCACGAGGGCCACAAGAGAGGCTTCCTCCTCCTCCTCGTCCTCAATTTCTCCATCCTCCCTCTCCTCATCAACACCACGCGGACGAAGAAGAGGTCGGGATCACGACCCCCCCCAGTTCAGACTACTCGCAGAACTGACGCGCGGCGTGAACTCGACCCCCTTCCTATCGCGCGAACGAGATTGAGGTCGAGTTCGCAGCCCGTTCTAGTTCAGACCGTCCGTAGGAATTGCCCTATTCCTAGTCTCGGCCTCCTTCCTGCTGCGCTGTTGTACAGGCGCGGTGGCGGGGTTTGCGCCAGGCAGCTGGATCACGAGAAAATCGCTCAGGATGATGATGGCGCCCAATCACGAAAAGCGAGGACCTTGACCAAGACTGAACGCGGAAACGACAGTGTCGATCTTGGTGACCGCCCATCTTGGTCATCGTCGGTTCGTAGAACATTCTCGCAAATCTGCGACGGCCAGCATGAACCATGACTAGGGGAACGAACAATCACATAAACATAACAACTCTGAGGTCCACGCGGATTTCTCGGATCGGCGCTGGACCCCCCTCCCTGGCGCGCGGAGCGCGCCAGAGGCGGCGCCTGAGGCGCCGCCAGGGGGCCCCAGCGCCGATCAGAGAAATCCGCGTGGACCTCTGATTTTCTATGTTTATGTCATTGCTTGTTCCCCGAATGACCAAGACCGGCGTCGGCAAGATCCCGCGACATGTTGGTCATGGTCATCGCGCTTCCTCCCTCGATGAGACGGAGCCGCCGGGCGAGCCCCCTCCCCGAGCAGACTGTGGCCCCCCCCTGGCTACCGCTGGAGTCGCTGGGATGGACGACAGGTCCCTGCGGCAGATGGCGCAGGTGTTGGCAGAATAAAGCCACCGGCTGATGCACACCTGCGCCGTCCCGGGGGGCGCCGCACTCGCCCGCACTCCCGTCCCTCCCAAGCCCTCCTCCTCCTCCTCCTCCTCGCCGCAGCTCGCGTCCGCGCGCGCACCCGCCGCCGCGGCCGCGGGGGCCCTCCGGTATCACTGGGGGACCCTGCTTCCCGTTTTGGAGGGGACGAAGAGGGGGAGGGGAGGGGGAGGCCGCCGAACCTTCCTGCACCCCGAGGCACAGTCACCTCCTCCTCCTCCTCCTCCTCCTCCTCCTCCTCCTCCTCCTCCCTTTCCCCCTCCTCCTCCTCCTCCTCCTGCTCCTCCTCCTCCTCTCCTCCTCCTCCTGCTCCTCCTCCTCCTCCTCCTTCTCCTCCTCTCCCCCCACCTCCTCACATCCTCGTCCTCGTCCTCGCCCTCGTCCTCGTCGTCCTCGTCGTCCTCGTCCTCTCCCTCCTCCTCCTCCTCCTCCTCCTCCTCCCTCCTCCTCCTCCTCCTCCTTCTGCTCCGCCATCCCTTCGCCCATCCCCTTGCCCATTCCACCGCCCCGTCGCCCGGGCCCCTCGCACGTCCCCCCGCCTTCTCGCCCACCGCCCCGGTCCCCTCCTCCGCCTCCGCCCTCCCCTCGCCCTCGCCCATCCCCATCCCCCCCCCCCTCCGCGCGCCAGCGCTGCCGCGCGGATGCCCCGCGCGCCCGCGCGGGGCGCCTGGCCGCCGCCGCCGGCCGTGCGAGGCCGCCCGCCTGGCCAAGGGCGGGGCGTTGCCACCCCTGTCGCGCTGGGCGGCTTCGCCGCGAACTGATCCGGCTCGGCAGACTCGGGCGCAGGCCCATGGAGGCACACATTAACAGACACTAGCCGAGAAGGGCGGGCAGGTCGTCCTGCTGGTTCTCGACTGGGCGAAAGCCTTCGACAGCGTCTCCCCGGAGTCTCTAGCACTAGCTCTTGTTAGATTTGGCGTGCCCGCGAAGTTCGTGGAGGTGGTGCGGGCGATCTACCGGGAGCGAAATTTCTGTGTACGGGATGGCGGCTCGACCTCGGCGCTGGGGGCGCAGGAATTCGGCATCAGCCAGGGATGCCCGCTGTCGCCCTTCCTATTCGCAATCGTGATGACCGTGTTGCTGCGAGACGCGGAGGAGGAGGAGGCCGGGCCACTGCTGGACCCCTCCCAGACGGTGCATGAGTTGGTCTACGCCGACGACACACTGCTTGTGTCTTGCGAGTCCGACACAGCGACGGCATACATGCGCAGCATCGAGAAAGCCGGATCGCAGTACGGGCTACAGTTCAATTGGCGCAAGCTGGAAGTTCTAGCTGTTGGCTGTAATGCGCATATTCCGAAGCCAGACGGTTCCTGGGTGCTGCAGAAAGAGAGCATTCAATATCTGGGCAGCTTGATTTCGAGCGACGGGAAGATCGGCCCTGAACTCTCCCGCCGACTTGGTGCCGCGCGGGCGGAATTCGACAAGTTGAAGAGAGTGTGGGGCCATTCCACGCTGACGCAGTCAAGGAAGCTGGAGGTGTTCAACGCTTGCATTCTCAGTAAACTGTTGTATTGTCTGCACACGGCCTTCCTGAACCAGGCGGAGACGAAGAAGCTCGACGCATTCCACGTGAGATGCTTGAGGCAGATACTTCGCATACCTCACTCGTACATTAGCCGCGTAACAAATTCAAGTGTGTTGGAGCAAGCAGGCGCTGCCCCACTGAGCAATACTTTGCTGAATCGTCAGCTGCTGCTCATGGGGCATATCGCCCGGAAGCCAGCTGATGACTCAGTCAGGTGCCTGGTCCTACGCCCTTTGTCATGCCAACTTATAGCACATAACTTCAAACGAAAACAGGGGCGCCCCCGGAAAACTTGGATCGAAGCTGTTTTTGCGCACGCTGTCGGGGCCGCGGGGGGTGAGGAGGCCCTGCCGCTGCCCTGGCAAGATAGCGTATTTTCTGCCGCAACCTGGCGCGCAACCGTGAAGCGGTATTGCGACGCATTGTAAGGCCACGGCGTTTGTGCTCATGTGCTTTGCACTCAGCTTTGTCTCTCTCTCTCTCTCTTTCTCTCTCAATCCCAGGACTTCCCATACACACGTAAAAATAATAGTATGAATCATAAAACTAATCCTGATAACGCTAATAATCATAATAATACGTATAAACTTAGTAATAATGGTAATACTAATAATACTACTTCAATTAATAATAGTAATGCCACGGATCGTAATACGATTAATAATGACAATGCTGGTAATAATATATTATATGGAGCTTCGTCTTCCCTTCCTTTGCCCATATTTTCTCACATTTTCGGGGGAATCGACGTTCAATAATGTCTGTGCTTTTTTATCTCTCCTGATATTAGAAACCCCAAGATAGGGTCGGAGTAGACGGGGTCGGAAGATCGCGCCGCATCGCCGCATAGCCAATGCATCGCGTGGAGAAAGTCGGGCTCCATATCGAGCAGCATCGCCGATGAATCGGCGCTGCGGCGGGATCCTCCGATCCCATCCACTCGGACCCCGTCTGGGAGGCCTAGACACATGCCGCAGGAAGGTTGTGCCGGTCGCGAGCTTCCACGATGCTGCTACTGTACCTGTTTCGCAGCGTCAGCTCTCAGGGTCCACCCGCCAACCCCCTCTCCTCTACTCGACGTTTCAGGGCGGTCAGGCGCGGCCGCGGCCGCGCGGGCACGGCTGCGGCGGTGTCCTCCCGGCCGAAGCAGCCTCGGCCACAACGGCGTGCCAACTGTATTCCCCGGAGGAATCACTTTCACATTCGTCGCCGGGGTACACACGACGGGGCAGCCGCGAGCTCCCGTCCCCCCTCTGCTCACACCCAGGGCCCGTTTGGGCCGGAGGGCGGGGGTTCCCCCCGCCCACCCCCCATTTTCCCTCCTCCCCCCACGCTTCCTCCGCCTTTGCCGTGCCGCCCCTCCCTCCCAAGGCCCTTTTTCCCTCCTCCCCTCTTCCTTCCCTCCTGTGCTGTGCTGTACTCTAACGGAGAGAGCGTCATTACCGCTCTCCCCCAGCACCAAAACTCAGACGAGGAAGCGCAGCGGGTCGAAAAGCACCGACGACGCCGAAGGGCGGAGGCCCCCACTTGCCGCCCTCGCCCTTCTTGCCCACAGCCGCTCCCCGAGACTCCTCCGGAGCCGTGCCAGCTCTGTCCTGCCGAGCGGCTCCGCGAGCACTCGCAGGGCGAAGCCGCGCGAGAGCCCCCCCGGCCTTGACGACAGCGTCGATCAGCGCGCCGTCTGCCACAGCAGGAGGAGCACCGCCGCCAACGGCGGGCCCCGCGCCAGCAGTCCGCCGCTGCCGCCGCCGCGCCATGCGCGGCGGCAGGGCGTCAGTCAGCCCAAGAATCGTCCTCCAGGTCCGCCTTTATGGGCACGGTACCTGCAGCAGCCAGCGCGACCAGTGGCAGCCCCACGGCCGCGGCCGCAGGCGCCCCACCGGCACCCGCTGGCGCCAGTCCCAGCGCGCTTCCGCGCAGCGACGCGCTGGCGACGCCGCCGCCGCCGCGCCGCTTTCGCGGAGGGAGCAGCAGGCTGCGCCGCCTCACCTCCACCAGCGCCCCCACCATCAGCCGCACGGCGGGCCACCCGAAACTCGGCCTCGACCATGGCTTCAGCGGCCCTGCAATTGTCTCCCGCCGTGCGCAACAGCCGAACTGCCGTCGCACCGCGCGCCAGGCCCGCAGCCCCATGGACAACCAACGCGGCCCCGCGGGCCGCCGCCAGCGCCGCACGGCGGTCCGTCGCCGCCGCCATCGGAGGCTCCCTGGGAACCGCGCGGAGGCGGCCCTGCTGCAGCGAGCTCGACGCGGGCACGGCTTGAGCTAAAATTTCTATGGACCTCGTTCTTCCCTCCTCCTACTCCTCCTCCTCCTCCCTCCCTCCCTCCCTCCCTCCCTCGTTCCTCCGGTCCTCGCGGGGAAACTTCTTTCCCTGTCCTTCCCTAGTCCCCACTCGTAGGTACTGCGGCATGAAATCACAACAAGTAGCGTTGGTGCTACTACGGCTGCTGCTTATACGACTGCTTGTAGAAGGACTACGACTACAACAACAGCTACTACTACTACTACTACTACTACTACTACTACTACTACGACTACTACTACTACTACTACTACTACTACGACTACTACTACTACTACGACGACGGCGACGACGACGACGACGACGACGACGACGACGACGACGACGACGACGACGACGACGACGACGACGACAACGACAACGACGACGACGACGACGACGACGACGACGACGACGACGACGACGACGACGACGACGACGACGACGACGACGACGACGACGACGACTACTACTACTACTACTACTACTACTACCTAGTACTACTACTACTACTACTACTACTACTACTGCTACTGCCAGTGCTACTACAACTACTGCTACTGCCACTGCTACTGCTACTGCTACTGCTACTACTACTACTACGACGACGACGACGACGACTACTACTACTACTGCTACTACTACTGCTGTTGCTCCGGCTACTGCTACTACTATTTCTACGGCTACTACAATTACAATTATTACTACTACTACTACCACTACTGCTGCTACTACTAATACTATTACTACTACAAGTACAACAAATAGTACTCCTACTACTAGTACTACGACTACCATTACTACCGCTACTACTACTACTACTACTACTACTACTACTACTCTTACTACTACTACTACTACTACTACTACTACTACTACTACTAGGACTAATACGACTATTTAAACGACTACGACTACTACTACTACTACTACTACTACTGCTAATACTACGACGACAACTACGACGACGACTACTACTACTACTACGGCAACCACTACTACGACTACGACAACGACTACGCCTACCACTACTACTACTACTACT